TATCTTATATAGAGAATCTGGTTTTATTACACTTAATAGAAGAAGTCATTTGCATAAAAATCTTACTTTTTATAAAATATATTATAAGAAATGCCCCTCTCAAGTCTGTATTATAATCCAACCGTACATTAACAATAATACTGACAATTATCATCTTCGAAGTAATATAATTTTTGATGTTCCTATAAATGTTCAAACAACAATTTTCAAAATAATAATAATGACATGCGTTATCAGGGACATAATATATAAAAAAAACACTAGGCATTCACGATTCTAAAATGAACCTGTGATTTACTAAACTGTTTAAGAGGTCCCGTTATGATGTAAATTAAATAATGCTATGAAAACGATTTTTTTTTTTATAAAAACCTTATTCTGCGCAGTTTAATCTTTGGAACTGCATTTTACAAACACAGTTCAAGAAAGAAACATATGTTTTACAGCTTACAGGACGTACTTTCAATGATGACAAAAAATATGCATTCCGGGGATTTATTCCCCGTCCCATCCGTCGCTAAGTAGCGGATTTCATGAAAGCCCACGTCAAACTGACTTCCGCTGGCCTTTCCGACTGTTTGTGTCATAGTAACGTTACCGCCAGAGTTGTCATTGGCTGTGGGGACATTCCATGTTACAGTTGCAAAACTTTGTCCTCTGTCTGCGTAGGAATTGATACTTGTTGGACAGTCCATAATTTCCGGTGGCTGGGCATCTATAATAAGGGGGGAATTAAAATATCATTTGTGCAATAATTATAAAATTATATCGTTTTCATACAATTCAAATGGCAATCATTCATATATATAATATCCATGTGTTTATCCCAACATGAAGGATAAGCATATGGATGGGAGGCGCGCCACGACATATAACGTTACGAAAAGTATTTAAATGTTTTTTTGTTGATGATTGAAAAAAATGCGATATACACTTGCCAATCTATTTTTAATGTAGGTTTTGTATGGACAAACAGAACGTCTCATTAATATCAATACATACTGAAATATATAATATTGCTTCATTTGACGTATTAATCAGATAATTCAGGAAACGTGTTACTAATCAAAAACATAACACAGTATACATATTAAATTCTATCCATGTGTTATCCCTTTGAAATTATGATGTGATTGTGATGGATAGAAACTATTTAATTTTACTTGCCTTGACAAGGAAGTAAAGTGGTGGACCAAGCACCTGTGCCAGAGCACTTTGTCATCTGGAAACTATCTGAAGGCAGACTGTATCCTTTGTCACAGCGTGTGGCACAGACAGTGTTGTACTCAAACACGGTATCCGTACACGAGGCTTTTCCATGGTTGGGATGTATGCTGGGAGAAGCATTGGAACAGTTCACAGCTAAGGTATTAAAAAGGCTTGATTATTTTTGAGTGACAGAAATTTGGTAGACAAAACTGGAATGATATTATTCTCTATACCAAGAAACTTTCGCTCAGTTAAATATTTGACCTTTGCCGATAAAATCAATGTTCGCCTAGTGTTAATTTGCTGTCATAATGAATTTGCCCTCAATCGGGAGTTCGAAAAGACCAAAGTTAAATTATGTTAAAAATAACCCGCTTTCAGTTAAAGATTAAAGACACTTGACATGCTATTCACAGATTGATACTTTGTCACTTTAAAGCATCATTTAAAGTGTTACCTTTGCATTGAGCATCGGCTCCTGAGAAGGACCCACTGGTCTCGCATCTTCTTCGAGCGCCACCATTTAAGCGATAGCCGTCGAAACAGCTATATGAGCAGCTAGATCCTGCTATTCTTTCAGAATTCTCGCATTGTACAAAGCCATGCCTTGGCCATTTCAGTGTTGTTTTGCATGTATGGACTGAAAGTATATCGAGATATGTTAATTAGATTCGAAGTGTCATATTCTATTTGTATATTACGAACACACTATATAGTAAATTAATTATACCTTCCACAGAAAAACTGTAGTACTTGGAGTCCATCAGTCCTTCTTTATCCTTTGCTTGGTATACGATAGCATAACTTCCCCGAGTGAAAGCACTTCCTGACGATTTACCGGAGACAAGAGAAACCCTGAAAAAGTCAATATACATTTAAGATGAATCTGTGATCTCAACCTGAGAAAAATACTATGTGTATTTGTATTATTTTGCAATCATAATCAGGATAGGATCCAGTTTGATTGATAGATTATATATATATTTTCCAGCCATGTGTAATGTAAAAGCGTAGTTCCCAACTCTATTGATTTATTTGATGATTTAAGGTTATTGGCTATCATAAATATTACTACTGTGATTGTTATTAGAGTAATGTCTCTTTGAACACTCATTAACTAAACTCAAATGTTCCTGTTGTTATCAAAGGATTAATTATTTCAAAAAATAATTTTATGGTCCTTTGATGTGGATCTCATACTTATCAAAACCAAAGTTGAAAAAAAGGCATGATCATCTTGACTATAAAATAATACTGAAAAAGATGTATACTAGATCAACCATACGGAATTATTTATTCACTCATAAAATTATATACACTTTCGCTTATATGTTTATCCAGTGTACAGTTCGAACTTTATATCCAATGCTGAACTCATTATGCATCAAAGGTGAAATGTTCACTTAGATTTATTAAACAGACATTTACATGTATATACATCTGTGCTTATGACCATGTCTCATTACACCATGAAAGAAAATGTCTTGATAATAATCTATTACATTTTATTTTTCATTTTTTCATTCATGTTATGTACTTTGCAGTTCTAGTGAAACAACAGAAAATGTTCGCAATATACTATACATATGTGTAATAACGTCCATTATTACATTGCTATTTGGAATTTAACATCTGTAAGTAATCACCGATAGCATGTTTTCATTTTTTTTTTATATAGCTTGCCCGTTAAATCAATTAATTTTAATTTCTTTGTATACATATGTAAGGGTGCTGTTCTTTAAAGTAATAAAAAATGCATTTTTAATATCTCTTTGTGAATCAAGATATGATCGGAATTTCTTAAGTGAATATGTTATATATAACCATTGAAAAACTTTGAGTTAAAAAATATCGTTCGTTTCTCCAATCGACGAAAAAACCCATTGCAACAAATTTGCCTTGTGTTGTTTTCTCACTGCGTACGTCATTGAAATTGATATGAAAATAAAACCGTTGAAAATATCAACCTTACATATGCATGTATATTTAGCATATCATAACCATGATGTGTGTAACTTGTTTATTGAGATCGATTAGTTCAAATGTCTAATTGAATATTTTGATTATGTTTACAAAGTGTATGATATTCTATTCAGAGTTGTCGTTCCTTAACCTAATCTTAATCTTGGTAATCAGAGTTGTCGTTCCTTTCGTTTAAACGGTCAAACCGGTCTGACCAAAATTGTTCGTTTATTAAATAAGGTCGGACCTGGTAATCTCGTGCTGCTTTCAGGCGAACCTTGGCAAAGCCTTATAAGGCCTGCATAAATATTTCTTCCTGACACACTCCCAGGGGCCGTAACTGGGGGGAGATATTGAGGACTTACAAAATCAACCTGTTCCATATGGTCATTATCTGTCTTTGTCTTTTTAATTACACATGTTTACATTAAAATTCTTCCGAAACGATACACTTACTTGACAGTCTAAGCAATATTAACCCAAAGCTATAACAATACAGCAATACTTATGTTAAACTTTGTACACGAACGCAGCGAAAAAACTGAATCATAAAGACGCTTAGAAACTCAACCATGAGGGAGGGTGGGTTCTCGAGTTCTGACCATCTGCTGACCTAATATATCATGCCATTGTATGCTAATTTAATGTAAGGGTCTTGGAGATTTTTCTAAACAAAAAGACGTGTTTTCATACCTAAAAACGAAAATCTATAACATATATTGCTTGCAAGATACGCATTTTACAGCTGATAAGGAAAAGATCATTCGTT